TAAACCCATGCTGACTGGGCCTGATCACCTGGTTGTCCTGTACATGCCATGTGATGGCACTCAAGATGATCTGCTCCATAACCTTCCCTGGCACCGAGGTCAGACTGACAGGTCTGTAGTTCCCTGGATCCTCCTTCTGGCCCTTCTTGTAGATGGGTGTCACGTTTGCTAACCTCCAGTCATCTGGGACCTCCCCGGTTAGCCAGGACCGCTGATAAATAATTGAAAGTGGCTTGGTGAGCACTTCAGCCAGCTCCCTCAGTACCCTTGGGTGGATGCCATCCCACTGCCCAGACTTGTGAAGGGCAGTGTTTCATACCTTGGCTGTTATTTATCCTACAAAACAACTAATGGAAAAACTTGGTTCTGCTTTTCAAACCATTTCCTTTCTAATTAGAGTGTTTAGGTAGCCAGAAGTTCTCTATTCTTGGTCTAGTTGTAGGAGCAATAGTTCAATTTATGCATATATAAAGAACCTGGTTTTACTTCCTAGTTGAGAACTTGGAGGCCTATACTGTCTGTATATAATACGTGTCAGGTTTCTTTCAATCCGGGTTGGTTTATGGAGTGCTTGGCTGGCACCGGAGAATATTTGGGTCAGTGCTACCAGCCACCAACAAGCCATAAGCATAGTTATCATACATAGTCTAAGTGAAGATAAATATTACATTATTTAGGATGAGGTGATTATAAGCCTGTTCGCTGTAAATGAATGGTTTAAAGTGTTTTAAGAAAACAAAAAAACATCATAAATTACAAATCAGCCAGATAAATTGAGTGGTTTTGAGGAAGGTTTATTCAGATTCAGAGACGTGAAAAAAGAAAGAGTGCCAGTGTGCATTGTTCATAAAAGTAAGATTGACTTTTCTGACCCTGTTCCTATTTCAGACAAAATAAGATTTTCTGTAATGGGACTGTACAGCTTAGCTGTACATGTGAGTTAAAGGTCTGCATCTTTCCATTAGGCGTTCTGTGGTTGAGCACCCTGAGATGGATGTTGGGGGTAATGTTGTTCATGTGTGTTTAAGAAATACACAAAGATTTTGACTTAAGATTAAAAAGATACTGGGAAACACTGTCTTGAGCTTCAGAATTCTAAAAATAGTACATGAACTTGATAGGGGTTTCTGTTCCTGAAATTGTCTGGAGTTCATAATATCTTTATGATACGCATGACAAAAGCATTTAGTTGCCCCATTCTACACAGCTGACTTTCAGAAGCAAATGTATTTAAAAAAAAAAAAAGGCTTTTATTAGTGGAAGTTGTAATGTCCTTGGACAAATGTATGTAACACGTAGCCTGGAGTAGTTGTTGGTAAGTGCACGCTTCACTTTCCTTGCCATTGCTGTTTCACTAACAGGTGTGAAAAGATGTTAAACAAATCATGTAACTAATAGTTGTCCTACTTCCAACATTGATTTTAAATGCAGTAGAAGACATGGTGTGCAACTGAGTGGATGGGGAGATAACTGCACAACAATCTTCTATAACATGATCCTGTTGATGGAATTTTAAGGCCTGCAGTAATAGATTTCACCTCTGAAATAACGAGGCAAATCATAATCAGCAGCTGAATCATGCTTGGAAGAAGCTATTTTGCCCTATATATATTAAAATGGTTTAATACTTCTGTGAATTTTGTTTGATAATCTGATATGCATTCTTCAGGCGTATGATTTAACAGCTTGAATGTATGTTACTGGGATACTTGTTCTTAAGAAATTCTTGCTGAGTATTCTAAAATTTCTGGAAGCAGACAACACTGTGAGTGAGAGGGAAGTGATGATGATGGTCTTGATCCTGGACTCCAAAGTATGGTTTCTTGTAAGTGCAGAACTGGCTGATTGAGTAATTGCCTTCTGCTATGGATAATGCTGTTAAATGCCCAGTTTAGGGTTTTGTTTTCAAAAGGGTGTTAACTAGATAACGATCATACTCTCCTCTGTTTCTACAGCTGGTAAGACTTCTGAGGCTATTTGGCTCATTACTAAATAAGAATTGCAGGTTGCTGAATGAGTAGAATAAAAAGAAGCATCTCTGGTTTATGGGATTAAAGAGCTTTTAATACATGAATGAACCTGAACAGTATGCTTCTAAATAAACTATCTTCCTAGTTCTTATTTCATGGCTAGTAAGTTACAGTTGCTGTTAACAACAGCCTGAGAAGCTGTGGTGAGTGCCTGTGTGTAGGGGAAATTGTCTGAATTTAAAGAGCAGTATCCAGTCTTTCTGAACTTGTGGTAGATGAATTTGCTGGTTGAGGTATGGTGGCTGTGACCTGCCCCTTACACTAAGTAAACTTGAGAACTCTCATGCTTTCAGACTTCTCCTGACACGCATGGCTCTGATATTTAATTTGGAACATTGCTTGTAAGTTCAACAGGTAACCTGTGATTTCTGGAAGTATGAAAGGCAGCTTAAATAAGTTTGAATTTTAAGGTATGTTTGAAACTTTGTAGAAAAAAGTTTGAGGCAGAGCATGGAAGTTGCTTTCTACATTACTTGATCGGTGGCGTAACTTAAGATTTCTGTAGTATCCACGTATTGCAAATTCTAGAAGTATGAACAGAATTACCCCCAAAGTAGTATAGAGTGTCTCCATTTAAACTTAATTTAAATTAAATGATATCACTGAGTTGCAGCAGTTGCAGACGTTTACTTGTGAATGGAATTTACTTTTAAACTTTGTAATATATTATTATTTTTAACAGGAGGATGAGTCCTTTAACTTGCATAACAGCAACAGCCCTCATCATGAGAGAGATATAAACCGAAACTTTGAAAATGAAATTCCGCAGGAGAATGGCAATGCTTCAATTACATCTCAACAGATCATTCGATCTTCAGCTTTCCCTCAGGCAGATGTTCTTTCAAGCTCACTTGAGGCAGAGCATAGGTATGTACTTTATATAATATAAAGTGTTCCTTTGTGGTAAGTGAGCATGTCATAAATTCTTACTAGTTCAGAAGTCAGAATCTGAAAACTGAGAACACATAAAATGTTTAATGAATACTGTCAAAGTTTAACTTCTAGACATGTACTAATTTAACTTGGAATATATTTCGTTTCTACTACACTTGTGTACTGTCTTAAACTTGCTTTACTAAAAATTTTATGTATTTCCTTCTAAAGAAGTAAAGCAAACTGCATAGTGACTCCATCCCTCTGATTTTCATCTGCATGTCTAGGAGTTACAATGCATGTAATTGCTATTTGTGTTAATAATACTTTAAATGCTGCATCTTATGTAAAAATCTAGTGAGTTTTTCCTCATTGTTAAAGTAATCAATTATTTCTGTAGCTGACTAGTTGACACTGTCAGTGATATCACAAGACAATGCACTGGAAAGGGAGAAAGTAACTTCAAAAAAGGATTGAAACAATTCTAGTATCTCATAAAAGTAACTGCAGGAGCAACTGGTAGAGATGAGAATGATGCTGCTGGGAAATCACAACTCAGTCTGGAGATGAGCTTGTCATGAGCTCTGTCAGATTCTTACTGTTTCTGGCAACTACAGAATTGCAGTGATAGATTAGATAGAATTTTTTTTTTCTTTTAGTGATAGGTTATACATATACATTGGACTAGAGAACTTTCCCTTTTGTAGTACCTGCAGAGGAAACTTTTGTGACCTCTTATGCCTCATGAGTATGAAAAGTGAAATGCACTCTGCTCTGTTCCTTTTTTTCCACCATTGGCTATGGAGACACAAATCTTTGGCCACTAGAGGCTGCTGATGATGATTGTTTTGACTAGAAGATAAGAGTAGAATCTAACTCTCATGTTTCCATTCAGATGACTTTGAATGGCCTTCATAGGGTTTCTGGGCAAGTGTCTGTCCTTTGTGGTATCCCAGACAGGCTGTGTCTCCGTACTGTCCCAGCCCTTTGGCTGTGACCTCTGCATGCACGTAGACAGATGTTATGGTAAGGCTTTTTGTGGTAAATTGGACTCGAAGTGACCAGCTTAACTCACGGGATACTTGTGCATATATTGGCACATCTTGTACAAAATATATCTTGGGCTTCCCTTCTGCTGGGGAAGTTTCCAACATGCAGCCATCCTGTTGGTATCAAGTTTGCTAATCTGAAGTTTAATTTTTTTACGTAGTTCACACTTTTAACCATTCTAGAAGCCTAGTGTTGCTTTAAAGGGACAGCGGCCCTGCTAACTTTAGACAATGTTGCTTAAAAGTTAATTAGGCGTTGCCCTAAATTTTATTTACATTAACAGGAGCTCTGTAACTATTCACTTTTATTGTATGTAATACTGTTAACATCTTAGCTTGCTTGCAGTAAAACTTTCTAATGCAAATTACTGTTGCCAAAAATATAACTATCATTGAATTGCATTTGGCATTGCCAGTCTTGTTCTGTATGTCTATACAAATGCACTTATTCTCTTAAAAGAGAGTTTTGGATGACTTGCATATTATTTCTGCTGCTTCCTGAAGATTTAAGTGTTCCTGGCTGTCTGATTGTCCAATTTGGTCCAAATGCTACAGACGATATAATTTCCATTTCTGTTATTGTCCTATTAACTTTTTTTTATAATAGAGTAGTGCTGTTCTCCCCTTCTCCTTCTACAATTCCAGGCTTTTATTATGGTTTTAACAACAGTCATTTGTGTCATTGGTCACTGGCAAGTTGCCCAGTGCACATCCATTGTATTGGGACCTAGAGTTCTTTGTGGGGGGGGGTGGTGGGTGATGGTGGGTGTGTTATATTGGTGGACATTTTTTGCTGACATCTGGTTAAATCAAGTGCTGGGCACATGGCATCAACTGTGAGTTCGTCTTACTTCCCTGTTTTGATATATTCACCATTCTTCAGCTCTAAGTGCCAGTTTCTTGTGTCAGTTCTGGCATATCCTTTAGAAACCTCTTTATTTTTTGTGAAATAGCTTTAACCTCCTTTAACATTTAAGGTCAACAGGTGCATGGTTTGCCTAAAGAAGGTGCTAATCCTTTTGGCAAAAACTTTGCAGCAAGAGAACTCTCATCTTCATTGTTAAATGTCACAATGTCTTCACCCTTAGATAACCCCTGTTTTCACAGCGTCTTCACATATAAAACCACTGTCTGCCTGCTCAGATACTGCTGTCCCACTTTTGGCACTAGCTAAAACACGTTGATTATTGCATCTTTGGATATCTCAAGCTTAGTCATGAGAGGAATCAGTCTCTTCTTTCTTTTCTTCCCCTCATCCCAAAACTCGCTCCTAGTTTTGTAGTCTGCCTGTGCTGAAATACCAGCATCTGCCGTTGGGTGAGACTCAATTGCAAAGAAACCCATCCTGGCCCTGACATTAGCATGTGCTAAAAAAAAGAAACTATATGAGGCCATGGCATGATGAATTGGTTCCCATGGAGGGACACCACCAGTATTCCTCACGGCTGCTCTGTTATCCAGGATTCCCTCAGTGTGAGTGTTTATCTCTTCATACGATTTTCAAGGGGGTACACTGCTGCTCCACCAGACCAGTTATGCAAAGGAAATACATTCTTACTTTTCCACCTGACACAGATTTCTTGCCTTAAAATGAAGGTACAGTTTTTACCACATGTAGTGGTAAAACAGGGTCATCTGTGAAGGACGTGAGAACTTCTCAGCTGCTATGCTTTATGTATCTTTTGTAAGGCTTTTAACCTATGTTTATGCAAGAGTTTGTTTGAAAAAAATTATGGACTGATTAATCCATTTGTTACAGATCTTTACAGAGGCTTTTAACCTATGTTTATGCAAGAGTTCGTTTGAAAAAAATTATGGATTAATCCATTTGTTACAGATCTTTACACACATATGTAGGCAGAGAAATGTCTGAGTGTGTGTAGCAAATTCCTTAATGTTGTCCTTTTTAACTTAAAGGTTGTTAAAGGAGATGGGCTGGCAGGAAGACAGTGAAAATGATGAAACATGTGCTCCACTAACAGAGGATGAGATGAGGGAGTTCCGAGTCATTAGTGAACAGGTAACACTAAGTTAATGTTCCATTATGAACTTGTAGTTGGCTACCCTAAATGCCTACCTTTTGAGGAGGAACTGCAGTAATTTTGATGGTTAGGGATGTTGCTGTTTCAGTACCATTACAGTATCGTGCTTTTGGAAGAGTAATTGCTTTAAAAAGATAGGGGACCAGTGTTTATTGTAGGTAAGGCCTATTCTCAAAAAATCAAGGGAAGGGTAAGGGAGTACTTCTGAGTAGTTTCAGCATTGCTGGTAGTAGAATCGCACAGGCTTTCCAGCTCCTCAGCTTAGCCTGAGGAAAGGGAATTTTCTTTCAAGGTTTTTATGCGGTTTCCTTGGTTCTCCAAAATTTAAATTTTCTCTGTTGGAAATTGAGAGACATTTAGTTCACTATTAACAAAATCTGAAAAGGCAATCCAGATTTGATTTTTTTTAAATTTTTTTTTTTTTTTAAATTAGGAGTGTTGTATATACCTGATGGGGTCAGTGAGGAGGAGCTGGAAGGGAGAATCTTGTGCAGTGTTAAAAATGAACATTTGATATTTATGTAAGTCTAGCCACACGCATATTTATAAGAGCATTTGGAATATTAAACTCTTAAATGCTTGGCTTATTGCCCAGCTTCTGCACTATGTGTGGAAATGCAGTAATTCCTTTCTTGTTTTAGAATCAGTTGTTTCCTTTCTCTCCAGTGTCTTTGACTTTCCAACTGCATCAGGTAGATTGGGATTCCAGTTCCTCCCTGCTGCTTCTCCTCTTCTGGGCCCCTTCCTTACTGCAGACCCTGCCCTTCTTAGCACAGATGTTTTCAGCACTGTGGAAAAAGGGACTGCATTGCAGGAGAGACCATGTGGGAGGAGGGATCACTGGGGCAAGACGTCTGAGGAAGTGGGAGAGAAGAGGGTAAGCTCTCGTTGACTGCAGGAGCTTAGCACAGTTGGAGGTGCTTGGATACAGGTGGCTGGCCCAGAAGTGAAGGCTCTCAGAAAAAGGGAGTTTTCCTTTGTGTGTTTATATGGAAATGTAGTGCTGTGGATCTAATGTAACCCAGAGATGAAGATGTAGAGAATGTTGAAAAGCAACAGATTGTTGTGTTTAGCTTTTTCTTTTTCTAAATACATCTTGTTTTCTTATTTCAGTTACAAAAAAATGGCCTTCGGAAAAACGGCATTTTGAAAAATGGCCTCATCTGTGATTTTAAATTTAGCCCCTGGAAAAACAGCACTTTCAAACCTGCTCTGGAGAATGAGGATTCTGAGACGAGCAGCAGTGATACATCAGATGATGATGATGTGTGAAGACTTCTGCAACATCTGTAGAAGCCCGTTTTGATCTCATGAAAATATGGGGATGTGTTGTCCAAAAAAAATTCCTAATTTATGTAGTAACATACCCACTAGAGGAAGAATGATGGGACTTCTCTCTGAAGAAAGCAAGGAATGTTGCGTTGGGTGTGTTGAACATTACTATAATTTCTTTGTAAACGAATGTTGTAGAATGAGGACTTGGGTTGACCCACCATTGACTTTCTTCATCACTGAAGCATTTCTGACTAGCAATGTGGCAATGTAACAAATCAGACTTTCTCATTTAATAATAAAAACAAAGAATTGTGTAATGTCTTGCAAAGCTTCTGTCTTAAAATGTCCAAGTCTATAAGGAAAAAAAGGGCAGCTTGACACAGTGTTTTGCTTGCCAAGTCATTTCTTTCAACGTGAGTCCACTTTGTACGCAAGAAGGGCAATGTAGCATGTTGGCTAAAATGAGCAAAGTGCACTAAAACTCTTTTCCTTAATTGAGCTGTTGTACTGTTCTACTTCTTCCACACATAACTGCTCTTTAGCCATTTGTAGTGTAGTCGTCATTATTAGCGGCAAAAGACCCTGATGTTACAGTTCCAAATTTCTGGAACAGACCTTTAAATTGAAAGCTTTATGGGGTATTGCAAGACCCAGTATTCTCACAGTGAACATGTTTCTTGTGGGAAAATAAGCACTTTGATTTTACTATTCACATGCAGAAAAATAATTACACTGACTGGATTTGTCCACTGCATGGAAAATAAACTGATTTACAGAGTATTGTCTCAGTGCATAGCATCAAGGGTATTGTTTTTAAATCTGGTAGGTTTTGTTTGCATTTATATTAAATGTATTCTGGCAGCAGTGACTGCATTTCAGAATGAGGTAAAAATATTTTCATCACCAGATCTTGCTTTTATAGCAGCAGAAGTATATCTATGCAAAAAGCACCTGTTTTGCTTACTTTGTGTCAAACTTTTTCTTTATGATCACACATTTAAAAAACAATATTGTATTATTTATAGTTTTATTTGGTTCATTTTTGTTCTTTAAATATTTTCTACAGGGTTGTACAAACTATGTAGCATTAATTCATAAGCACAACTGCTCTCGGTGATGTCACATACATTTATAACATAGCTTATATATATATATAGACATTCCCCCTTCAAGATATTTTTGGATTGTACTATTTCTTATAGTAAATAATTTGCAATTTAAAACTCTAAAGCAAAAATATTTATAAAGCTGAGATTTTGTCCATATTTAACTTCTTTCGGAAAAGACATTTTTCATAAGATGGCATCTATCAATTTTGGGCCAAAGGTGGTATGTTTGTGGTTTTTTTTGTTGTTTTTTTTTTTTTTAATTAGTTTAAATAGAGATTTCTATTCAAGAGGTCAGTTTTTGTCTTGGAACAGGCATGCAAATGTTGATGTAGTTAATTTTGGCACAATGTATTGAAACACGCCATTTTCTCATCTGGATTTAACAGGATAAAAATGTTTCTTTTTTTTAAAGAAAAAGCTGCCATATCAGTAATGAAGTCTTTCCTACCTGTATGCCCTACACACCTTTCTCCTTCCCCTCTCCTACAGCTTTTTTTACTGACTTTGACACCTTGGTGTAGTCTATTCCCGTTTTAGTTTTCACATCCTATCAACAGGATCTTCTGCCTATCCTAATTACCTCTTGGTATGTGAATATGATATATTTATTACGAAGTGAAAGCTTTTTTGCCTTGGTATTTCTCAAAGTGGGCCTTAGACTTTTTTCCCTCTTTATTCAGTTTAGTAACAAGTATCACCTCTGTAATTAACCCTTTGGGAAGATACTATAATTATAGAAGAATTGGGTTATACTAAGTGTATAGATTTGGGAAATTTACAGGTTGTAATTGAGAAAATTCTCTTTAGAGAAAGTAGAAATAATAGTTATACTTGGTACTTCTGTTTCGCTAGTTTATATCCTCAAACTGGTAATGGAAGCACTGCTTATAATGAGCTGTGAGTAACAGGAACTGAGCAGTGGTTTTGCTTTGTAGAATGAAACACCTTTACAGCCTTTGTAACTTCTTTTCTATGAGTGTGTGGCTGCTTCTCCTGTATCTGCTGTGTTGTCCGTCCTGGCTCTATACACATAATTACTCTGCACTCCTACTACACTGTGTTGCATTTCTGAAGTCAGGCATGTTTGATACTGTGATTTGATATTGTGCAGACGCATAGCCTTAACCAACTGATGCTTGTGGGTTCAGTTCTAGTCCTATACAGTGGTCCGTTCTGCTAGTTCAGAGACGTGTCAGGGGTCTGCATAGCCCCTAGCTTAAATGGTTACCTGCCTGCTCCGTTACTTCGGTTTGCCCTTCACTGCAGTATGGAAGTGGAGAAGCTTTGATGTTTCCACTGAGGAATTGGCTTGCCTTATGTCGTATTTACTTCTGGCAAAGCTGAGTACTGTGTTGGTCCTCTTTTTTGCCACCTTAAGAAACACTTTCTTTAGTCACTCACTGAGGAACTCTGTTTTCAGTTGAGTTTTTGATTTTTATTTTCCTGGGACATGTCACTTGAAACAAAGTTTGGTTTTCATATTTTACTTCCATAAAATGTACTTAAGTATTCTTTTGTGCTGTTCCCCTCCTTTTGTTCAGTGCTTGAGGACGTAAAGCAGAATGAAATCTGATTCTCTAGTAGGTAACAATGCAACTTTTTCCATCTTTGACTTTGTTCCTTTCCCAGGGCAATTTTAGTAGTTCATTGGCCTTTCTCTTCTGTCATGTGTAAATGACGATCCATTCCCAGGATACATCCTCTCTTGTTTTTCTGCTTGAGCAGGTTAAACGCCAGCAAGGAAGTCTGCCTTAAAGGCTTAAGAAGTTGGTGGACTAAGCTTGCCCATTCCCTTAGTAGGTTCTAGCAAGTTTTGGATGTTAGAGAATGTCTGCTGGGGATAGTTTGTCAGTGCTGGGCTGAAAGAGCTTGACTTCAATGACACTAATCACTGATTGCCGCATGCAGACATGGCACTGCTGTATGATTTGCAGTCACTGCCATTTCTCCTCTTCATCCTGTCTTTATTGGCAGAGAACTGTATATTCCTGGTTACCCTTTCCATCCTTCAAAAGGGAAGATGATTGATGAGTCACTCACTGATTTTCTATCTATTGCATGAGGGATGTGCCTTCTGAGTCTGCTGCTGGTATGGAGGGTACCTGTGTTTATGGTAGGGAGCTGGGGCTCCTTTACCTCATCTAGAATGACCAGAGGCCTTCCTCACTGACTTGGACAGGGCCTTTTTCTCTCTTAACTGGTGAGAGAAGGTAATTATCTTTCCTGAAAAGAGAGTTAATTACAGTAAAGTTGTCCATTGATGCATATTGACCCAATCAAGATTCTGAAAGAGATTTTTGCTGCTTATCTCAGTCTTTGAGAAATGTTATCCAGTGTGAAGGAACTTGATTTTTGTTCTCCTATGTAATTGCCTGTGGGGGGAAAAAATCTGCTTTATTTATGATGGGGACCTCAACTTCAGTGTTTCTTCTTTAAGGAATACCTGTTCTTCAGGAAATACATTTAAACTGCTGGCTGCTAGAAACTGGAAGGAGAGTTTAGTCAGGGATGTCTTTGTTTTTTCCCCTGTTTTCTGTTTGCTGCTAGGCAGTAGCTGAGGCAGTTTACTCAGCTGCAGGGAACTTTTTGGTCTGATTAAGGATTATTACTGTTGTGCACCAAGAATTATTGGCTCATTAGGATGATAAATGTGCTGACTAGCTGGTCAGCTTTCCTGTTACTCATAGTCATCAGTGAGCTTTATTGCAAACTGATTGAGGTTTGTTTCATTCCCTGGATCTCTCTTCAGCTTTCCCTAGAGGTAGCTGGCAAAGCATTTGCTAAACCAGCATTGGCAGCGATTTGCGAGGCAGTCTGGCTCTGTGTGAGGCATAGGTGTGTATCGAAAAGTTTCTTCTGTCTCTGGAGGTTTGCGCTTCCTCAGAGATTTGTAAGCAGCTTCTGGGGTCTATTTCTTAGTGTGTTGCCGTCTAGGAAAGACTTTCAGACAGACTAAAGAAGAATTCATACCTTTGACCAGTTGGTCAATAGACTGTACTGCTCTGTTAGTGAATTCAGTGCCTACCAAAGCCTGCTTCCATTGCAGTCTCTTGTGGAGATCTGATGGAGATGTGAGGTCTTACAGGGTCTATAGTGGCATGCTTTTCTTGAATCCCTATAAAGGTACCTGAGAGTATGCTTGCTATTTAGGCTTCATTCTGTATACAGCTTCCTTGGACATCCTCTTAGTATGCAGCTATTTATTCCCCTGGCAATAGCATGATTGTTACAGACAAATGTTGTTCCATACTTGCAGGGCAAATGCTCATTTACTTTCCTATCCTATCCAGGTCAAAGATACAGCTTTGAAGTGGAAGGGAGTATTTTTGGCAACTGGTACGATTGGTGATGTCCAGAGAAGCATCTGCACATCAGGCTGATGGAGCTTGGGTCAATATGAGAGAACCTGAGTTCCCCTTAGGAGGCGTTGGGGGATAACTGGTTCTGGTGGTACTAAGCAAGGCACTACAGAGTTTCAGCTTGGGAAACAAAGGAAAGCAAACTCCTTCTACTCTGCCAGAAAGCAGTCAGACTTGCAAACTCATGCAAGAAATTGCAAATGCTTGAAAGATGAACTTGGAGCAGCCTGGTGGCCTGAGCTATTGCATTTTCTAGATTACCAGACTGGCTGTGTGCTGTCCTGAGTTACCATCTTCTAAGCCTATAGATTCTGAAACAGGCCTCTTTGCATCAGGTACCAACAGACAGCTTCTGACCTCCTCTGAAGCCAGACAGTATCCACTGTTGCCTTAGTGTTCTCACAGCTGGGTCAAGGAAGGTGATGTGGCTTTTGCTCCAATCTGTTACTCAGTATAGCCAATAGCAAGACATGATGTGCAGTTCTGATCCTGCTTATTCTAGTATGGTGGCTTTGGTACAGTGGCTTCCTTTTGATTCTTATTCCTTCTGTGTGATAGCTTGATGTCTGGGACCTTTGTGCTATTCTGATCTTTGCATCTTCTGTCTCCCATTGCTTCCTGTTGCAAGACTGCTGAAGTGGAACCATCTTTAGCAAGTTATGGAGCATCCTGTCTGAGGTCAAGTGACTGCATCATGGACAGATGAAAAATGATTGAGCTTTGAGTCATCTGGCATATGTGTGCACACACAATTTGAATGTAATACAAGGGGACATTGTAGAATTGTTAGCAATAACTTATTTTCTATGCTTGCCATTTGTACCTGTTGGTGTTATTGGTGGCTCTTGTCATGAGTATCGTGTTCTTTTCTGCCCAGGAGATACAGGACTTAAATTATAACCAGGCTGAAGGGCCTCTTCATCAATTACCAGGTTCGCTTTTTTCCTGTAGCATTGCTTTAGGTAACAAAGTATACTGTTAGAAAGGATAATGTTTGAAATGAGCTGATCTGTAAGCAGCCTACTGAATCAAGCCACTGTTTATGCTAAGCTGTAAACACTTCATTACCAAAAGCTGAGAAATACTTCTGTCTGCATTGGAAAGCTGTTTCAAAAAGAAGCTCGAGCATGAATGTAAAGTACACAGATACTTTACTAAGTCCTCACATGAACATTTTTCTCTGCCCTGATTTTTTTCATTGCCCACCTCCAAAGTGGGCCTGCACAAATAACCTTTGTAGAGGATAAAAACATTTTCTTAGCTGAGGTTAATGAATTAGTTTTTCTGAAAATGCAGGGTGGAAACACCTT